ACTGAACTGCGGCGCCGGGGGCTCCTGCAGCAGATGAGTGGAAGCCTTAGGCGGGCGGCTTCCACTCGCCCTCTCGCCCGGAGCCTGAGGTCCACGGGCCCTCCGTGTGAGCGGGCGAATGGAGTGCGGGGTCACGACTGTTTTCTCAGCCGGTGGTGGGTGGAGGAGAGCAGCCCTCAGTCTTCTGGGCCAGCTCTCCTCCCTTCTGCCTCCTGAGCACATTTGCTTTAGGGTCGCTTCGTTTCCTTCTCCCTCCCCTCTTTTCTCTTCCGTCTGAGCACCACTTCTCTGCAGCCACCATCCGCTGACATCTGCTAGCTAGCAGTTGAGCACCCACTGGGTGGCAGTCTCTGTAGTGCTGATGGTTAGAGAGAGAGGTCGCACTGAGCCAAGTACTCGCCCCGTTGGCCTCACACGCAGGTCTCCCCCGCAACAGGCGTTCAGATCCTGCTCCCCACTCTTGTCCTGCTTCTCTCACTCTTCCACTGCCTCCGGTGCCTCTTCTCCGGCACGCCGAGAAAGGAAGCTAGGAGATTGGAGCTCTAGTTTTAGAGCTGCCACTTACAGGGTGATATAGGACAAGCCATTTTTTTTCTTTCAAGGCCCCAGTTCCCTCGTGGAGACAATATATCCACCTCCCAGGTGCTGCGAGGATGCACTGAGAGCTTGCATGTAAAAGCCCTGGCACACAGTAAGCATTCAATAACGTTATTTCCATTTCCATGCTATGAGGTGGGCAAAGTTCCGTCCTCTTCATATTGGGTCTGGAACCAGGAAACACGGGCTGCTTCCAGTAGATGTGGGAGCTGAAAGCCAGAATGTGTGCATGGGGTGGGAGGGAGGAGAACCACATCATGAATGACCCTAAAAGATGAGGAAGGAAGGAGTGCAAGGAGGGGGGGAAAGTGCTTCCTTAGGTTTTCATATAACATCGGCCAGCTGGTTCCTCTCCCCTTACAGATGAGGAAACTGAGGTTTGTGGAGGTTACACTGCAAATGACAAGGGCAGATCACACTGCCAGGGTCTTCCCTCCCATGAGCCCCTCACTGCTCATCTCCTCACCTCCTTTTTCCCCTTGAGGGCATCTCAGTCTGTGGTAAGAAGTGTGGGAGAAGGAACAAAAAGAGAGAACCCTCCAGAAGCCAGGGCCTTTTTGCTAGACTTCATGAAATTTTAACATGAAAACTTGCACAAAGTAGAAGGCACATGTTACATGCAAATCATATGCTAATCACATGCTAATCAAAAGTCTGATCCTCAGAACTCTGAGGCACACCTGACTGAAGCCCTTGGGAAAATTCTTGGGAAAACCCTGGCTTCCAGGACAGGATGGATTCCATTTAGAGTGAGGTTATGGAGTTAGGGTTCAATATTAGCATTGGAGAGGAGTCAAGTGTATAATTTGGAGCTAGGATCAGGGTTAGCACAAAGTCAAGGGGGGAGGTAAAGGCGGGATTGAGAACTAGGCTGTGCTTTCATATAGGGGAGCCTAGGGGACTCCTTAAGGGCTTCCTCCCCCCTCTTCTCCCCCATCAGCCTTGTCACCACCTCCACTGCTCCTTCTGTGCCCTGTAGCACAACCTTTTCTGTCTACCTCCCATTCCCACCATATCTGGAGACCTCCCTGGGGTCTCCCAGGTTGGCTGCCTGAGGAGCTCTGGGTAAATCGTCCCAAATCCCAGCCTGGGCCCCAGAATTTCCCCTTGAGCCCAGACACTTGGCTTCTGACCTCAGGAGCATGGACTGGTCTTGACCCTACCCAGATCCCTCCTTGTGACAGCTGCAGGCGAAGCAATAAGGACCTGGTGAGCTGGCAGCTTCATTCCAGAGTGTGGGGAAAGAGCAACAGAACATGAATAAATTCATGGAGCTGGCCCTTCAGCTCCCTGTGAGCCAAGCCTGCTCCCCCCACCACACACACCCTTTGCCGCCTGCAGCCCTGCTGGTCACCGCAGCTCGTAGCCTGGGCGGACAGGGATAGGAGGAGAAGGGAAGCTCCAGAGGGAAGAGGGCTGGGACCTGAAAGGGGCTGAGATGAGGGGCTCAAAAAGAGGGACTTGGTGAGTAGGAGAGCGGGATGGGGAGCGGGGCTGAGCAAAGACCCCTGGTGAGGCAGGAAGAAGACGGGTGGCAGGACCTGGGGTCAGTGGGGCTTGAGGACTGGGCAGGGGAGGCTGATGCGAGCCCTGGCCTGCTCTCTCCTCTCTGATCCATCCATCATCCAGCCTGGGGGAGCAGATCCAGGATTAAACATGCATGGGGTGACATGGCCCTCAGCCCCCCACCCCCACCCCAGGAAGACAAATGGCGACAAAGACCTTGAATAAAATTTGTATTTATGGTTGGAGGAGGAGGCCCCTCCCCCACTGACTGCCAATTCTTTCTCTCCCAACCCTTTCAAAATGTAGGAGCTTCCCTCCATACAGGCCCAGCCTCAGCAACCTCTTTCTCCTGGCACCAGTATGGGCTGGGAGAGGCAAGAAAGAGGTACAGGGAACAAGAAATGAGGAAACCACCTTCACCAATAATCACGCTGCAGTGTGCCCTCCATCTTACACATCGTATTCCCATACATCACAGTCCTGGCTTACGCTGGCCTCTAAGAGGTCCTTTGCAGCTGTCCACTTTCAGAGTCTTCAAACATCCCCACTTTGCCTGCCCCGGAGCCCCTTCTCCAAGCCTCTGGCCCTAGGGTCCCTCCCTGTAAGTAAGCATTTTCCCTCAGAGAGGCCAGACCCTAAGGAAGAATGCATCCACTAGCTTTTTCTCTGGACTCTGACCCCTCACAGAGAGGGATCTCTCACAGCCTGAGTTCTCTCTTGGTCACCCTGAATGGCAGACACAGTCACCTCTTACTGGAGGGAGGCTGCCTGGCACTTAATCTGTATTTTGGTTATGGTAATTTACATAACCAACTTCAAACTCCTGCTTCAAATAGTTATTATGTGGGGTCCAACTTCTCTGGGTTTCAATGTAACCATAGACCTATGAGGAAGAGGGAAGGAAGGTGGTAGAAATCCTAGGGCTGGACAAAATCTGGGACTAGGGCAGGACTAGAGCTAAGCTGGCCTGGGCAGAGCAAGGGACAAGAGCGTCTTTCTGACTGTTTTCCCCAATGTACTCTGCCCAGTCCTGAGATGGCATTCACAGGATCCCATATTTAAGGACTAAGAGAAAGACAAATATAAAACCTCCCCTCAAATAGCCTGGCCCTCTCTCTCTCTCTCTCTCTCTCTCTCTCTCTCTCTCTCTCTCTCTCTCACACACACACACACACACACACACACACACACAACACAATCCACAATCTCACTCACCCAGGGACACACAAGCCCAGGGTCCCACGGCCACGTCCGCACCTGCCAGCACACTGTCACAACGCACAGGCCCCAGCCTACCACTCCGCTGAAGAGCCGCCCCGCCCCCTTGTCTTCCCCACAGTTGATATGTCACATTGGAGTCCGAACACGGACCTGGGTGTCTCTCTGCAGCGCGCCATTTACATTTCTCTCTCGATCTGTCAACCTGTCTCGGCTCCTGTCTCTCTCTCTCTGTCTCTGTCTCCCCCTCTCCCCCTCGGGGGCTGTCAGTTAGTCTCTTTTCCCAGCTTCGTCTCTGTCTCTCCGTCTCTATCTGGCTCTCTGTCTCTTTGATTTCTGTCGTTCCATTTCCTGCGTTCCTGCCGGTTTCCTGCCCGCTTCCACAGGCGAGTCTGTGTTCTCACTCTCACTCTCCCGCACTCTCTCGGCGGCTCTGCGCTCCCCGGCGCTGAGGGTCGAGGGGAAGGGTGGCCGCAGACGTGCCTGTTCTAGTTCAAGCCAACATGTGCCATTGGACCCTTTACCACATGACTGACATTCCCATCAAGGGCGCTGAGAGGTGTGGGGTGGTGAATTTCTTTTTGCTTGCCCTTCTTGTTTGTTTGTTGAATTTCCTTTTCCTTTTTCCTTTTTTTGGGGGAGGGGGCATGGGGGAGCTCTTTCTAGCTCAGGAATCCACCTCTATCTTTTCTGTGTGTGTATCTCACTCCCCCCTTTTCTGATCCCATCGCTATTTCTGGTTTCCCCTGGGCTCTAGGAATACCCAAGTCGGGATAGAGGCTGAAAGTAAGGCTAGTCGGGAACAGTGAACCCCTGCAGAATCCGCTCTGAGCCAGGCATCAACCAAGAGGCGGGGGACCGCGGGTGGGGGGCCGCTGCCTGCCCCGCCCCCGCGCTTCCCGCTCTGGGCACCAGGGGTCGCTCCGCCGCGGGTCGCTTATAGCGGCTCCCGGCGCGCAGCTGCTCACACCACCGGCACAGCCACCCCGGGAGGGAGGAAAGGAAGGTTAGGGACGCAGAGAGGGAATGCGCTAGCAGGGGAGGCGCGCGGGGCCGTGACTCTAGCAGAGGCAGGGGCCGCGGCCCGGGGTAGAAAGGCGGGTCGGTGCTCGCCGAGAGCCAGAGCGCAAATCTATGAGGGGATCGCGTCCGGGAGTTGCCACCCTCGGCGCAGAGCCCGGGACGTCCGGAGAGCGGAGAGGAGTCCCGGCTCCGACCAGGAGAGATCCGTCTGGGCAGCTGGGGACTAGGGTCCGAGCCATCCTTGAGAAAGAAGCTGTCCAGAGAGCAAGCATCCTAGATCTGTAAGAAACCAGCCGCCCAAGAAGCCGCAGATGTCAGACACCCGGGAACGTTAGGCTGAGCAGGAGGGGAACAGAGGACCACGGGCTCTGAACCGTCGGGAGCTGCCCCGGCCCAGCCCAGGCGGGACCTCCGCCTTGACGGAAGGTTTGGGGAACCGCACCGCTGAGGCGAGAGCCTGCAGGGGACTGGGGGGCCAGGCGCGGCCGTCGGGGTGGTCCCGACCCAGACGCGAGCCCGGGTCCGCCTCCGGGGCCCACAGAGAGCCCCGCGCCTCCGCCGCCATTGCGCCCAAGAGTGAGGACGATCTGCTGGCCCTGGCCGCGTCGCGTCTGAGCCGCCGCAAGCGGGTGGCGGGGGCAGCCGTCGGGGTGGCCATGGTGCTGCTGCTGCTGGTGGCTATTCCGCTGCTGGTGCACAGCTCCCGCGGGCCAGCGCACTACGAGATGCTGGGTCGTTGTCGCATGGTGTGCGACCCGCATGGGCCTCGAGGCCCAGGACTCGACGGCGCGCCTGTCTCCGTGCCCCCCTTCCCTCCGGGCTCCAAGGGAGAGGTGGGCCGGCGCGGGAAGGCGGGTCTTCGAGGGCCCCCGGGACCGCCAGGTCCCAGAGGGCCTCCAGGGGAGCCGGGAAGGCCAGGTCCACCCGGCCCTCCTGGTCCAGGCCCCGGCGGCGTGGCACCCCCTGCCGGCTACGTGCCTCGAATCGCCTTCTACGCTGGCCTGCGGCGGCCACACGAGGGTTACGAGGTGCTGCGCTTCGACGATGTGGTGACTAACGTGGGCAACGCTTACGAAGCCGCCAGCGGCAAGTTCACCTGCCCCATGCCGGGTGTCTACTTCTTCGCTTACCATGTGCTCATGCGCGGCGGAGATGGCACCAGCATGTGGGCTGACCTGATGAAGAATGGACAGGTGAGATGCCCCTCTCCACCCAGCCCCAGATTCGCCAGGTAGCTTTCTAAATCTCCCTGCACTCATTGCACAACCCGGCCCCCTTCCCCGGACACTGTCACTGGATCCAGGAATGCCGGGCTGCCCCGTCCCAGGCAGCGCTCAGTCGGCAAGCACTCCAGTGTGAGGGCATTCAGCTTGGATTGTTTAAGGAAAAGCTGAAAAACAAGAAAAACACTAGCCCATTTACCATCAGCTCTATTGCTAGTCCCAGGGCTTGGGGCCAATTCTAGAGTGACCTTACACTCAGCTGACACTGAGTCAGTAGGCAGAGGTGAGAAATGGTACGGTAGCCCTTCAGACCACCAGCCAGGTAGCCTGAAGGTACGGATTTGGAGAAGAAAAGAGGCAAAGGAGGAGGAAAGGCAAGGCAGAGAACGTGGGCCTACTGGACCAGGCCCCACATCTTCACTGGCCACCTCTGGCCTTCAGGTTCTGCTGCTCCCTGCCTCTGTGGTCAGAGTCGCTGCCACCTTGGCCTGGGAGAACAGCCCCCAAGGACTTAGCTTGAGGACCCGGGACACACACAGGGGGAGGGAAAGGCCTCAGGCATAAGGGCTGGTTTAGGCGCCTGGGCCACCAAGCAGCAGGGGATAAGGTTGGGATGTAGTGGTGACCTCTGAATGCCCCACGCGGCTGGCTGGTGTGGACTGTGCCTTGCCGCATCAGGCCTGCTCATCCTGGCTGTGGGAACGCGGGTCCTACCACCGGCTACAACGATCTGCTGTTCCAAGACCCATGTGCACTGCATTGGGGTGGCCTTCCATCAGGGCCCCCCAGGACCCCAGGGAAAGGGAGAGAGAGAGTGTGTGTGTTTATGGGAGTGATATGGAGTATGTGTGCAAGGGAATGTGTGTAACTCGAGTGTGTCTGTTGTTGCAGGGGTGTGAAGGTGTGAAAAATACGAGCGTTTCTTGTTTCTACCTGCAGGTAGAGATGAGTAGGTGTGTGTGGTCTATGAGGGGTCTCTGTGAGTGGGTGGAGGGGGCAGTGTGTATCTAGAGTGTGTCGGTTTCCGAGGGGGCAGGGGCCGTGCAGATCCTACTCAGTATTGCAGGAGCTGCGGGCCCTGAGGACAGTAAATAGTGATTAGAATAATGATAAATAATTAATGAGTTAATAACCAGCCCCCGCGGGACAGGAAAACCGGGGTTGTGGGCAGGGCTGGTGGCGGGAGGCAACCAGCAGCAGCGAGCCAGAGGGGAGGAGGGGCTACCTGTTGGGGCAGAAGGCGACCCCCATGTGGGTGCGCCAGAGGGAGCTCGGAGAGAAATGGGCATCATCGCAGTACCTTCCCGTTCAAGGCCTGCACCCTCGCATTAGCATATACACACTTTGCCTTATCACTTGGGAATGCAAGTTTAGGAGGCCAGAGGGGTTCAGAATCTTAGAAATTATCCTACATCCTAATTTTATTTTTAAATGATAATAGCAAAGCCATAGTGTTTTCTATGTGTCAAGCACTGTTCTAACACACTTAACATGTAGTATTCATTTAATCCTAACATTAGAAGGTAGGCTCTGTGATTACTTCCCACCTTATAGCTCAAATTAAGGACCGGAGAAGGCATGAAACTTGCCGGAGTCGCACAGCTAGTGAGCGGTGGTGCCCGAGCAGCTCAGAGGCCTCCTGCCCTCTCCTTGTCCTCCCCAGCCCCTGCAGGCAGCCACCCCTGCACGGCCTCTCCCAGGCCCAGCTGCGTCTCCTCGACTGGACCCATCTCACCACCCCAGCTCCGCACAGGGCATGAAGGGTGGTTTTGTTCTCCCTCGGTAGGTCCGGGCCAGCGCCATTGCCCAGGACGCAGACCAGAACTACGACTACGCCAGCAACAGCGTCATCCTGCACCTGGATGTGGGGGATGAAGTCTTCATCAAGCTGGACGGCGGGAAGGTGCATGGCGGGAACACCAACAAGTACAGCACTTTCTCTGGCTTCATCATCTACCCAGACTGAGCCGGGCCCCAATCCAAACGTCCCTCGCTTGTCCCTCGTCTCCGTTCCCCTCCTCATCCACTTTCAGTCGGCCCCACCCAAGGCGCCATCCCATCCTTTGAGAGCTGGGCAGTGGGGTGGACCCGCCTGCTCCCGAAGGCGGCCTTAGTGGGCGGACTCAGTGCCCCGGGGCGTAAGTGGCTGGGGAGCAGAGGCCCCGCTGGAGGAACAGAGCGGCTTGGGAAGGGGCCACTCACTTCCCTGTGTGGCGGGGGAGGGGGAGGGTGTGTGGGATGGGCGGGCTGTGAAAGCCGGTCTGAGGGGCCGAGGTCCGGGTCCTCTCCTCGCCGGAGCTCGGGAACAGCCTCACTAGCCAGACTAGGCGTTTGGGGAGGCAGAGAACTGAAAAAGGAGCGCATCTGGGTGAAAGGCCACGTTAGGACCGGTGTAGGTGCTGGTCCACCGTCAGAACTTTCTCTTGCCATCCCGTCCTCCCTTCATCTTCATTTTTCGGGCTCCAGGCTCCAGCTTTGGCAGCCTTCCTGCGGACTGGAGGAACCGGTGAATTCCTTCCTAGCACTTAAAACTCATTCTGCACAGTCCCCATTTTACCCGGATCTGGGCTAAGCCCTGGGGCTACAGCTGCTGTTGCCTCTTCCAATAAAGTGACATTAGAGTGTGTGTGTCTTCACTGGTGCAGAGTGGGGACAGGGGCCTGACCTTTACCCCTACTCCCCTCAAGGGCTCTCACCCACCCTGCCAGAGACAAAAATTTAGTCCTTCGCAGCAAGGCCTGCCTGTGGAGGAGGGGAGGAGTAGCCCAGTGCTTCTGTGACGTAGGGTGAACAGGGTGGCATCAGCTTCTGCAGAGCTTCCAACCTTACACTGTTCAAGGGTGTCCAACTCACGGCCCAGGATGGCTATGAATGCAGCCCAACACAACTCTGAAAATTGTGCACAGACCTTTTTTTTTTTTTTTCCTCATCAGTTTTCATTAGTGTTTGTGTACTTCATGTGTGGCTTGGAGATGCCAAAAGTTTGGACACCCCTGCAGGGAGACACCAATCAGAGTGACAGGGAGGGTTCCAAGACTGTGGGTCCAGTGTTCAGCTTTCTGCCTGATGCAGGGAAAGTTCTAAGAGAGGAGCTCTAGGGGATAAGGGAGTTGTTGATGGCTCCTGGAAGTGCCACCCATCTCAAGAGCCAAGGGGAAGAGCAGGTCTCCAAAGGGAATTGACTATGGGTGTCCTCCCCCAACACACTCACAGAGCTTCCTGAGGTGAACCAGAGTGGGGTGACTTCCTCCCTTCCCTACCCACCCACCCACCCTGCAGAACCTGGGAGCTGAGAGCCCAGGGCTGGCTCTAAGGTGGAAGACACTGCCACCAAGTGGACCACTGGAGAGCAACAGCAGTAGCTGGCCTAGGGCAGACAGAGGGAAACACATTCAGACACTTGAGAAACTTTATTGAAGGACAAAAGGGTGCCGGCTCCCACTCCCATGGGGAGTCCTGAGGGCTAAATAAATAAGGGCTAAAAGGAAGGAGCAAGGAAGAGCAGGAGCAGGTGGAGGCGGGTGCCTCATGATGGAGAGTCCTGAGGGGCAGCAGAACCAATTGGAATAAAACACTGGAGAGAGAAGAGACCTTGTCATGGGCCAGTCATCCTTGACCTGAGCCAACCCTTCCCCACTAAGCTCTGTAAAGGAGCTAAGGATGGCCCCTTGCCCCTTCCTACTTCCCACAGGCTTGCTGTGGGCAGGGAAGCTCACCAGGGCGTCCTGCCATTCCAACAACTTGGACACAGGGTTGGTGCAGACCCGAGAGGGGCCTGAGGGAGGCGCTCGGCTGGTGTAGAAGGCACACTCATCGTCCAGGCGCGCCTCGTGGAAGCAGTGGATGGCCGTCAGACATGCTTTGAGGCGCTGCCTCAGGGCCAGGGTTCGGGGAGCCAGACTACTGGGGCCTGAGGGTCCAAGGGCCAGAGTTCAGGATGGGCTCTGGAGTCATATACTCTCACCTTGTACTGCCCTTTCTCAACCCCCCACCAAGGGCCAAGGCAGTTAGAAGCACAGGACTGGAGGTCCAGCTCCTCCCATCTTCCTAAAGGAGAGCCGGCTGGGCAAATTAGGCAAAAGAAAGCAAGCCTGGGATCACCTGGTACAGGGCAGGGGTCTTGCTCCCAGCAAGATGAGGATCTCCTTTGTTCATAATCCTTTCCGACCAACTACTTACCTGCCTGGCCTGTTGGGGGCCTCAGAGACTGGAGTGAGCGGATAGGGGGGCTGGCACAAAGTGGGTGCTGGGAGGAGAAGGTCACACTGGTGGTCACTGGAGCCCACTGACAGCAGCAGGGCTGCGGACTGCACTCTGTACTCCTAGGTTCCAGGGAGCCCGCCTCTGATGCCCCAGGCTCCACCCAAGGGGAGCAGGCTGGAAGGGGTCCAGGCTCTACTGGAGGGCAGGCCTCAGACACCACAGGCTGTTCCTGGGTGGCAGGCTCTGGAATCTCGGGCTCCCTCCTATGGCAGGACTCTGGTGGCCCCGGCTCCGCTGGGGGGCAGGCCTGAGCGACCGCAGGCTCTGCTCCAGGGCAGAGCTGTGCTTCCCCACACTCCTCTGGAGGGCAGGGCTCTGGCAGTCCAGAGTGTTGTAACAGTTCAGGAAGGTAGGAAGCCCCAGGATTATGCTGTGGGGCGTTCAGAGTTCTAGGAATCTCTGCCAGCAGGGGCTGAAGTTCAACCATATCCAGAGAGGATCCTCCATTAAGGGGGGCATGCTTGCTCCCTGCCAGCCCTTCAACCTCCTGCTGCAAAAGCTGCTGCAGGATACTGATGCGCTGTGGGTTGAAGAGAATACGCCAGTGTGATGCCAAGATGTGGGTTCAAGTCTCTACCCAACTGTCCTATTCCCATACCCCCTTCTCGTCCCATTTCTCCCTTCCCCAGCCCTGTCACTGCCCATCAGGCATCAAAACTGTTGCCCACTCAGACTCACCTGCATCTTTAGCTCCTGGAAGCTGGGGGTTCTAGTGGGGTGGGGTCCATGAGGAGCTGCCACAGGTGGTTTCCCGGGCCCCTCCTGCCACCTTTTACAACTCTCCTGGTCAAATAACCGGACTGCAATCTGCTCCTGCCACAAGGGAAGAGAGGCGGACTATGTGAGGAAGCCTGGCTGGGGCGGGAAGATCAGGCTGAGTCCCACCCTCATGAGGAAGGGACCAGGTGCCTAACTGCAGGCCCTAGACTGAGATTAGGAGAGACAGCAGAGAAGCAGGGAGAGCTGGAGAGTTAGGTAGCTTTTCTAAAGAGCGCATGGACCTCAAACTGCTGGGCCTCAGGCCAACAGGAGAAAGTGAGGGATTTCAGCAACGGAAAGCCTTGGGCACTTACCCAGGACAGGGCGGGCTCTTCAGGGCAAGACTGAGGAGAGAGGCCACTCAAACATCGGACCTGGGACAGAAGTGAGATGTCATAACCCCTCCTGCACCCATTCATTCCCTTCCTATGCCAGCTACCTCCCCTGCCCTCTCTTACCTGCTGAGCTCTGGGAGCCAATGGGGTGGGTGTGAACTGGGTTTTGGGGCGAATGGCATGACGCCGCAACACTGAATGTGAGGTCTGGGGAGAGATGGGGTTGGCTAAGTGGTGACAAAACCTAGGACCTAGCAGGGATCCCAGCCAGACTGCTCTGCTGCGGCCCAACCCCTATGGATACAAACCAGAGACGAGGGGCCCGGCGAGGGCACACGCTGAGCCAGTCCAAAGGGGGACGGGCGAGTGATAGACGGTAACAGCACATGGCCAGGGGAAGGCACTGAGTGGCAGTCCCGGCGGTCCTGTGGAGAGGAACAAGGTGGAAGATTGATCCCTCCCGCTTCCCTTCCTAGGTCTTGTTCCTACTACAGCTGCCAGTGTGACCCTCCTAATCATATGATGTCACTCCCGTGTTTGTTCCTTCTCCCCGTGGCTTTCCACTTATTCCAAGTAAAACCCAAGATCTAACACTGGTTTGTAAATCCTCACCCAGTCGAATCCTGTCATTGCTCTAACCTCACTTCCTGTCATTCCCCTTCCTCCAGTCTTGCTGCCATCTGCTTTTGGCTGATCCTTACACACAGTAGGTACTTTCCCTCCTCGGGGCCTTTGTATCTGCAGTTCTCCTGGCATGTTCTTCCCCCAGATATCCGGGGGGCTTACTCCCTCAACCCCTTCTGGTCTTCACTTGGACGACACCTTCTCAAGACCCCCCTCACCAATCTATTTGAAATTACAATACCACCTCCCCACTTCCACTGACATGCCATATATTTTATAATGTGTGCCTACTTTTTGCTTCCCTTTTCTAGAATGTGAACTTATTTGCTACTGTATATCCAGAACCCAGAACTGTGCTTGACAAACAATAGCTGATCAATAAATACTCATGGAGTGAATGAATGAAAGCTTTGGCTGACACGTGTTAGATCTCTCAGCACTGATGTGATGGTGATACAAGTACGTATCAGACTGTGACCTCTCACCTCCAGAGCCTAGACACCTGGTAAAGAGAGGCCAGTCCTACTCTGGAGAGGGCTTGGGCCCATGGGGGGCAAACCCAGATCGGATTATTGTCTGAGGCCTAGGACTGCCTGGCTCCACCCACAATCCTCAGTGCTGGCTGCTGCTGGAGAATTTCCCCAAGGGTCTCTCCTCCCCATCTCTACTCCCTGCCTTTCCTACCCCAGGAGGGTCCCATCTCACCTTGGTGTGTGTTATCTCTTGGGTTTCTCTCAATGGAACCCACTGGGTCAGACCGAGAGGGCCCTTTCCTTCTTCATCTGAGTGAGTGGCAACTTCATGTTCTCCTTCTGGGACAGAAGCTAGGAGGAGACAGGAAATGTGCCATAGTATCTGGAATACCCACCAAAGTTTGGCACAGGGCTTTGCAGCCTCTGCAGAGAGTGCATCAGTTTGACAGCCCCCATGGCCCCATCAGGGGTAGGTGGGGAGCCGTCCAGCATCCCCTTGGAGCCCAGAACTACTCAGTAATCACTTGTTAATCTGAATACCCTGATGTTTCCAGGTGTGCTGATGGCTCTTAGGGGCTGAGAATAAAATAGTGAGGGGAAGGCAATTCTTTTTTTTTTTTAGATTTTATTTTTTATTTATTTTTAGAGAGGGAAGGGAGGGAGAAAGAGAGAAAGAAACATCAATGTGCAGTTGCTGGGGGTCATGGCCTGCAACCCAGGCATGTACCCTGACTAGGAATTGAACCTACAACACTTTGGCTCGCAGCCCACGCTCAATCCACTGAGCTACGCCAGCCAGGGCTGGGAAGGCAATTCTTGTTGGAAGTGGCAAGGAGAGGGTAGGAATGGGGACCACCTCCTTTGACACAAGTGCAACTGGGCCAAGCTCTGGCCTATCAAGAAGGTCTCTTCCTCTCCAGCTCCTTCTGATCTGGCCTCCCCCCACCCCACCCCCCCGTTAAGCTTTTTCCTCTTGACCCCCACTGCAGGCAGCCCACCACTGTTCTCTCTGCATGGCCAGACACACTCACCAGGCTGGGCTGGGGTCTCCAGGAGCAATCCCAAGGCCTGGCTCACTGAAGTCCTGACGACAACAAGGGCAGCAGCTAGCAGTCACTGAATATCAAGTAGGAGCTGGGCACTGTGCTAACCGCTTTGCAAACATCATCTCATTCAATTCTCACAACCACCTCCATGATGACACAAACATTATCCTCATTTAACAGATTAAAGAAATTGAAGCAGGGAGGTTAAGGCAAGCTCACATGACTAGTAAGTTTGCTGAGGGTTGGGAATCAAACCCAGATTCCAGTCTGTGATCTAGCCACTAAACAATAGAGGCAGAACCTCTTATTTTTGTACCCTCCCTCCCCAAAACCTGAAGAAGCTGACGTCCTATTGAGGCCTGGCTAGTAAGCCCTGAATCCTATTCCAAGAGCTCACCCCGGCGGTCACAGCTTCCTCCCTTCCCTTCTCGGGCTGGTGGAAAGTCCTGAAGCTACTGGCAGGCCCCAACTCTGAGGGACCCTGTATGGGACATTGGCTCATTCTTTTCCAAATGGCCCTCTCCTCACCTGCTGTTGCCACCTGTTTCTCTTTTTAGCTTCTGGAAGCTGGGGCGAGCAGAGGAGTGAAAGGAAGGTCCTGAAGGTGGAATCTGACCCGTAAAAGCAAAAGAAAAAAGAAGAGTCAGAGGTGGGCCCCAAAACTTCAGGCCTCCAACCCCATTTGCCTCCACAGAAGCCCTCTGGCTCATCATGAGGTACCTCCCAAGGCCGGGCTTTGTCCATGAAAGGAGCTCCCAGAAGCACCGTGTATTGTCAGCCCCCCTGCAGGCCCTTTACTCACCACAGCCTCTAGCCTCTGGGCACACAAGGTCCGGCTTCGGGGTCCTGGTCCCTCCAGCCTTGAAAAGCAGGAAGCCCTGGCAGGGTCCAGTCGATTTTGGGGGGTTCTGGGGGCCAAATATGCAGAGGCCCGGGCACCCTGGGACCCCCAAAAGATGCTATCAGCTCAGGATTCCCTCCTCAGTCCACACCAGCCTGATCTCCTCATATCCTGTCTCATTACCTGGCCCCTCCGGATGGTGCCTCCCTGGCTCCCTCGAACCAGTACTCTCTGAGCTAGACTGGGCTGGCGCCCCAGGCGACAGCTCTTCACCCCCTCACCTGACAGGATGGTAGCCAGGGCCTCAGGGTCAGCCACAAACTCTATGACCCCTGGAACCTCTGCAAAGGAAGAAAAGGAAGGGTGAGATGGAGCAGGAAGAGGGAAAGCTGAGGGGCCAGGTACCCTAGTGTAGTCACCTTAACATACAATAGTGAGCCAGAGATGCATATAATAGGACTCAACTCACCAAATGTTCACAGAACATTACATAAGGCACTATTCTAGGGCCTGGGGCCCTGAGATAAATAAGACAAAGTGCCCTGTCTCAAGAAGCTATCATCAAACTGTAGAGAGGTAACAGACTCAAGCCAAAGTATGTACATGTTATAAAAGACTGTAGCAAAATATTAAAAGACAGAGCAATTGATTGGTCTGTGATTGGAGGGCTGGAAAGGGCTTTGGAAGAGATGACATTTTGCTTAAGGAAGGAGAGGGCTTTTAAGAGCAAAGAGCTTTCCAGGAGCAAGGACCAAGGACTGACTCTTATAGTCAGCAGGAGGCTGGAGGAGTCAAAGCCCCCGAACTCCACGATCCCCAACCCATTCTACCAACTGGCCAAGGAGACTGTGTTCTAGGCCTCCAACAAATACCTGTCTGGGGAGGGGGCCCAGGCCCCACATTTTGTGCCCTAGGGCTAGGCCTGAGCTCCTCCAAGGGGTTCCGAAGCAGAGTGCTCCCCGCCAGTCTCTCTGATTTCTCTTCTTGATGAGTGGCTTTTGGCCTGGGGCATGCTGAGTCAAGAAGGGGACGTTGAATACTGGTCTTCTGCTCCAATCTCTGGGGGACAGGAAGACAAAAAATTCAGCGTTGGGGTACATTGGAGGTGTGTGCTGCCTTCTTGTGGCTACTGCTGTCACCACCAAGCCTCTCTTACCTTTGGATCTTGGTTCTCCTGGTCCAGGGCGCAGGGCTTGACAGCGGGGAGAGATGGGCATCTCTTTGAAGGTACCGGAATCTTGCTAGGGGTGGGTGACACACCCCGGAGGAGAGGATTCTTCTTGGTTTGGAGGGTGGTCATGATGGCTATAACAGAAACGGGGAAGGCAGGATCAGGGATCAAAGGTCAGCCAGTTTGGGCATTGGTGCTGTCCTCACATCCCTGATACCTCCACCTTCGCTCAAATCCATGCGCCAAGACCTGGCGCCTGCAAGGCCCGTTCTTCTGGGTGCCACTTCCGGACACCCTGAGCCTAGTCTTTCGCCCCAGGACCCCGAGCTGCCTCTCCTTATGAACCTCCACGGCCCTCATTCCCTCCAAGATCCCCATGCCGCACCTTCCCCGGAACCTCTCAGGGTCTCCCCCACTATTTCGCTTTCTCCCTGACTCGGCTTCTGCTGCAGCTACTTCCCCAGTTTGTAAAATACGCCAAGCCCCTGATTGGCTCGTCCGCGCTCCGAGGCGCGTGACCCCTGACTCAGCTGTCCAATCCATAGGCTTCGGGGGCTGGGCCGAAATAGGACTGGTTACCGAACCACTTCCTAGCCAGGAAAAAACTGACGGGACTCAATCAGCCAATCCGAGAGCTGAGCGCGGGATGGAAGGCGAGGAAAGAGCAAAAAGGTGGCCTGTCTGAAGCCGGGAAGGCGTGGCGCCCCAGGTCTGGGCAATAACGGGTGCCGTCGTACTCTCGCGAGGTCTCGGGATTGGAGAGGGAAAGACCATTCGGGCAGTATCGAGGGAAGGGCTGGTCGTCCTAATTGGGTCAGCCTATGTTCGTGGCTGGTTGGGGAGACCCGAAGCCGACTCTAGTCGGAGTGTGGCGTCAAGCTTTAGGGACGCCATTTCAGACACTTAAAGAAAACATTTGCTCAGAGAGGCCTTAATTGAACCCCTCTACTCGTAACCCACCCTAATCTAAAAAGATTCCTTGGTTTTAAGTGCTGTCAAAGAGCAGTGCGTTTCCTCCAAGCATGCCATGCCAATTTGTAATTGTGTATTCATCCAAGTGAACATAATAAATTATGTTTGTTAAACTCAATCTCCCCCGCTAAGCCTCCTGGAAGGTGGTGATGCTTTATGCTTGGCTTACTATCATATTTTCAATGCCTTGCATTGTGCCCAGGTTGTAAAGATGCTCAACATTCATCAAATGAATGCATGGAAAGACCAGGGAGAGGTACTGTTTGAACTTCCTCTTTAAAAAGAGAACATTATTCTAGTCACTGGGAACAGTACTAGAGGCAAGAGGACATGAAAGAATGTGGAGTGTTCAGAGAATACTGAGTCCTCAGGGGTAGATGCAACATAGGAAATAAAACTAGAAAGAAGGGCTGAGTTGAGGGAGAGTGAGGGTCACCTTATTCCACTAACGGGTACTGTGAATGTGCCAAATACTAACGACTAGGCCAGCAGGGATGGTTACTAACAAGCACCCTGTACCTACCCTTGTGTAAGGCCCTTTGCTAGGCATTTGGGATATAGGAGGAATGAGCCTTAAGTTTGAAGAATGAGGAGGTGCCAGGATGGAGGCTGGCTGTACCGTGGCTTTACATGATTTTAAGGTAGTCAGCGCAGGGCAGGTTCGTCCTTATCCTCACAAACTTGGAAACTTGAATTTGTCAGGCTTCACATGCTAGATCTTGGACTGATTCACACTAATAAAATCTGTAAGAGGAACTGAGTGATTTATCATGAGTGGAATACCTTTCAATAACTCTAATATTTATGCCTATTCCTCAGGGCACCAGCTTCACAGAATCAAGGTACAAAGGAGACTGATATTATATCAGAAAAGTCTTTCAAGGAGCCAGTGCTCAGAATATCTGCCATGCTGGTCAGAGCATCCAACCTGTTTTCTACACAGCAGCCAGGGTGACCTGCTTCTGTTATTCTTTGCTGGACTTTTCCTATGGAGACTTGAGTCAATCTTCATCAGGTCATAACATAGTGTTTTCATGGGTGTACAAGCCGCCTCCCTTGTTTTATTATATCATCCCCTTTCATTCTGCTCTCCTATTTCTCTCCCCCATAGACACCACTCATATGTGCCTGGTATGTGTTCCTATGTGTGTATGTTGCCTAATGTGTAGCATTGTGTATCAGTTTCCTATCACTGCTATAAAAGTTGCCATATTTAGTACCTTAAAACATTACACATTTATTCTATTTCAGATCGGGAGGCTAGAAACCTAGAATTAAGTATTGGCAGGGCTCCATTCCTTCTAGGGGCTTCAGGGGAGAGTCTGTTTGCTTGCCTTTTCCAGCTTCTAGAGGCTGCCAGCTTCCTCGGTTTGTGACCCCTTCTTCCTTCTCTGTAATTTCTTGTTCCATCATCATACTACTCAATGTTGCCCCTCTCTTACAAACACCCTGTCATTACATCAGGCCTGACGTCTAATCCAGAATCATATGCCCATCTCAAGGTCCTGAGTTTAATCATAGCTGCAAAATCCCTCCTGCCATATTCAGGGGACTCACAGATATAGGGATTAAGGCGTAGACATATTTGGGGGGCATTATTCAACCTATTACAGGTTGTTTAGTGTATGAGCTTTAAATTTGCATGAACGGCATTTTCATTTGATTTTGTTTATATTTTCTTTTGTTTAATTTTTTTCCAGTTAATTCCATATCTAGGATTCATCCTTACTGCTATATACAATCTAGTTCGATGCTTATGACCGCTACGTGGAATTCCATAGTAGGCATCCATCATAGTTTCTTTATCCATCCTGCACTTCTACAAGGAATTCCAAAGAATTATCTTCTTACCCGGTCCCCTGTGAACCCACTCAAGAATTTCCCTGGGATATATATCAAGGAGTGGAGTTTCAGGGTCAAGAGGCTTGCACACCTTTAACCTCGCCATGCACCACCAGATCCTTTTTTCAGAATGTCTGTATTTGTTTAAACTCTTAATATTACTTGGAAGTTCTTCTCCCCAACACTTGGTATTATACACCTTTCTAATTTTTATAGTTCTAGTGGGTATTAAGTGGACTTTTGGCTATTTTAAATTGCATTGCTCTGATTATTAGTAAGGTTGGGTGTTATTTCTTATTCTTGTTAGCCAGTAGAAGAGCTTCACCATCTTTGAAATGCCTATTCACATGCTTTGCACATTTTTTATTATTGGATTTCCTGTCTTTATTCTTGTTGATTTATAAGATTTCACTGTATATTCATACATTAACCTCATGTCTACTTGGCAAATATTTCCTTTAGGTCTCTAGAGGAAGATAATTGATTTTGTAGCTGGCAACCTTAATAAACCTTTTCTTGGTTTTCCTAATTTGTCTATTGATTCTTCTGAGTTTTCTATAGAGATAATTATGTCTTCTCCAAATAAAAACAATTTTATATGTCCTCTTTCAGTTTATATGGGTTTCTTATTTTTGTTTTGTTGTTTTTTTCTTACATCATTGTACCGAACTTCCAATATTATATTAAACAGTAGCAGTACTAGGGACAACATGATGTGTGGGGAATCATATAGTTTTTCCTAAGAATAACCATTTTTTTAAAACCTGTTTTTGCAAAACTATATCAAACAGAAAACTGACATGAATAGTACAAAGAACTTTTTATCTCAGTCATTAGACAGTGAGTTGCCAATATATTGCCCTGCTGCCTTCCCACCCCTGTGCTTCAGTGCGCATGTCCTGCTAACAAGGACATTTTCCTCCATCACCCCCACACAATGGTCAAAACCCAGAAAAGAACACTGGTGCATCCCTACCGTTTCTGAATCTCAGACCCCACTCGAGTATCACCAGTTTTCAAAGCAATGCCATTTATAGCACAAAGACCCAGGCCACAAAAATGTGTTGCATTTAGTTATCATATCTCTTTAGTTTCCTTTAATCTAGAACAGTTCTTCAATCTTGACTCTCATGACCTTGACACTTTTGAGGATTACAGGCCAGTTTTTTTTTTCTTTTTTAGAATGTCCCTCATTTGGACTTGTCATATTTCCTCACAGTTAGACTCAGGGTGTGCGTCTTTGACAGGACTGTCACAGAACCGATGCTGCTTCCTTCCCACTGCACCCTGTCGGATGGGGCCTGTTTCCATCTGTGCCTTTCCTTGGGTTACTTGGTTGAGGTGGTATCTGCCAGGTGTCTCTACTGCAAATTATTCTTTCCCCTTTGTATTGGGGGGAAAGGCTTTCAGATTATATAAATATTCCATTCCTCATCACACTTTCACTTTATTTACTTAATTATATCAGCATTGGCTTATACACTCCTATTGAGAGGGTTATTATTTAATGACTAGTATTGTTTATTGTGATGCTCAAGTTGTCTGATTTGGTCAGTGGGGGCCCTTCCTTTCAAGTTGCCTTCAGCACGACTATGTGGGGACAAAAAAAGTTAATACTTTTCCTCCCACCTTCCAAGTACTCCCAGCTGGGCTAATAGTCAAATTAACAGAGAGAGAGATTTAACAGGAGAAAAAAAAGTGTTTAATACACTGGCCCTGGCTGGCATAGCTCAGTGGATTTAGTGCGGGCTGTAAACCAAAGTATTGCCGGTTCAATTCCCAGTCTGGGCACATGCCTCGGTTGCAGGCCAGGTCCCCGGTGGGGGCCACGTGAGAGACAACTGCACACTGATGTTTCTCTCCCTCTCTTTTTCCTTCCCTCCCCGCTCTCCAAAAATAAATAAATAAATAAATAAAATCTTCTAAAAAATGTTTAATACATGAGAATAAAGAATTCACATAAGCATGAACATTCCAGACAGTGAAGCAACATTGGGTATGTGACATTTCGGAGAAAGGAGAAAAGGAGGGAAAATAAAGTCTTAAATTTCAAGACTTAAATGAAAGTGAGTCTTGAAAGACTCACCAAAATGAAGTGAGAATGGGTGATTTACAGATTTTGAGTAAAAACAGAACATTCAGGGCAGGCAAATTCTTGCTAGGCAACTCAGAAACAATGAGACACAAGCTATCTAGTCTAACTGGCCCCTGTTTGAAGCCCTTTCATTTACCATACTAATTCAAATTAGGGTATTCAGGCTAAGTCCAACATCCTAAAATTTCCTCTTGAAGCATGTTTTTCTGTCTGAATCTCTTGAGCGGGAAAGGAGAAGAGGGTCAAAGGTCCTTTTTTAAAAGAAAAAGCTATTTGTTTATTTTTAGAGAGGGGAAAGGAGGGAGAAAAAGAGGGAGAGAAACACTGTCCATTGCCTTTGGCACACCCCATACCGGGGACCTGCCCAACAACCCAGGCATGTGCCTTGACTGGGAATTGAACGAATGACCGTTTGGTTCGCAGGCCCATACTCAGTCCACTGAGCTACACCAGCCAGGGTGGGTTAAAGGTTCTTTTTTTTTTCTTTAAGAAAAGATTTTATTTATTTATTTTAGAGAGAGAGGAAAGAAAGGAGAAAGAGAGGGAGAGAAACATGTTCGAGAGAAACA